ACGCCACCCCGTTCCTCCACAAGTACGCACGAATTTGCGCGCGCGCGCGTGCATCGTCATGCTTTGTTGTTCCTGTTTGTGCTCGCTGTTCAACTTGACCTCATCCCGTCACGCCATGTGCACTCTCTCGTTTGATTGCGTCCTTGCCGCAGGTCGAAGGACAAGGACACCTTCATTGCCCTCTCGCTCAACCACCTTCCAGTGGATGTACGCGTACCGAAAGCACACACACACATGTGTGGACATGCGCGTGGTGTATGCGCACATGCGTTTGTCCAAGTCCATGCCCACACAATAATACCTCACACGATGCGTACTCACGTTCGTTTGCTCTCCACCACCAACCACATTTGGTCTCGTAGGTCACGGACAAGACAATTCGACGACTGGCAGTCGAGGTCCTGGGGGATCTGTGGGGGGATGTACGCGGCAGCACGTGATGTGTGTGTGTGTGTGTGTTTGTGTGTTTGCGTTTGTGTGTTTGCGTTTGTGTGTGTGTGTGTGTGTGTGTGTGTGTGTGTGTGTGTGTGTGTGTGTGTGTGTGTGTGTGTGTGTGTGTGCGTGCGTGTGTATGTGTGTGTTTCGAGTTGTCTGCTGCACTGGTGGTTGCTTGGGTTGTTTTGATTCTTGTATGTGTGGGTTTTGGTTGCCGTGTGCTGGGATGATGGGATGATGCAGCATGTACAACTGTGACCCTTTCTTGTCCTTCACACGTGTTTGTTGCTCGCTTGCCTGCTTGCGTTTGACTTGTCTGCACCACTGTGTTGCTTTGTCTCTCACACATGTGTACACGATGAAATCGAAAACGACCACCACGACCATCACCATGGATCAACATACCGCCATACACGAGCAGTCATGTGTCACACAAGCCCCCAACAACACCCAGGGCCTCCCTCACTGTGCCTTTGCATTGTCAGACGAGCTGGCACGTGTTTGGGGACCAAGCAGCCAACCAAGCAAGCATGCCATCGTCGCCTTGGTCCCCAGCTGATGATGGCGGTGTGGCACCAACGAGCTCGCGTGCGTGCACGCCCATGATGGCTTGAACAAAAAAGGCTGGGTCTAGTGATAGCCTGTCATCTTGCGCCTCCAGCAACCCCATATCCACGTGTTGTTGTTTTTGCTGCTGCTGTGCGACGTCGTCTTCGCTGCGCGGTGGGTGGTCGTTGTTTGCTTCCGGCTGCCACTGGAGCAGGGCGTACTGGTACGTGCCGCTTCGTTGCACGGTGCCTGTGTATGTGAAGGGAGGCGAGAGGGCTGGCGGTGGTGGCGGGAGCACGGTCACCTGGAGGTCGGCCTGGGTTGGCTTGCGCAGCAGGACCATGTCGTTGCCCGGCGAGTCTGGCATTGGGGCGACGCAGGCGCGGAAGTGATGTTGGCGCAAGTATGACCGCAGCTGCTCGCGGGAGAGGCCCGTGCCGGCAATGGGGACGTGCCTGAGGAAGGCCATGCCACCTGGTGCCAGGAGATCGTACACTGCGCAGACGGCCGCGATGGGATCCACCAAGTGGTAGAAGGTGTGTGATGACCAGATGACGTCAAAGGCGCCTGTGAGGTCGCGTTGTGGCTCCTCAGCCAGGCTGCTCAGGTTGTCGATGTTGGCGACGCAGTAGGACGAGTCCGGCACAGCCGGCGTCGTGCTTGGCGAGCGTTCGTCCACGGCGGAGATGCCAAGCATGCGGTCAAAGGGCCAGCCCAAGGACGTGTGCAGGTGGGCTAGCAGACTTGCCGTGCCTGTTCCGAGATCCAGCAGCCGAGGGAAGCGCTGCTGCTCCGGTTGTGGTTGTGATTGTGCATGTGGGTGAAGGTAAGGTGGCTCCTTGCTGCTGCTGCTGGTGGTGGTGGTGGTGCTAGTGGTGCTGGTGCTGGCGGTGGTGATGGTGGCGGTGGCGGTGGCGTCACTTGCGTTGTGGCCGCACCCTTGTTGCTCCGTGCTCTCATCATCGACGTCGTTGTTGCCTGTGCTGTGTGTGATCCACTTTGCAAGGATGGCACTGAACAAGGCATCGGACGTGGTGTATCGCCCGTCTGCATCCAGATACAGCGTCTCACACCCCTCACCCGTGTACACCCATCCTTGTCCCACCTGTTGGTGTGCCTGTTGTGCTTGTTGTGCTTGTTGGTGTGCTTGTTGGTGCTGGGTGAACTTGGTGTCGCACGCCGCTTGCACAGAGGGCGGTCTTTGCTGCTGCATTGTGTGTGGTGCTTGTCTTGCTTGTTGTTGGTTGGTTGGATTGGTTGGTTGCTGCTCCTTTTTTTGTGCTGTCCTGACATGCTTGATGGGGGTTTCCAGAAGAGAGATGGCACGCGCATCTGACAAGAATTAGCGACGCAAATTCAGAAACCAATGGCATTCCTCAGCAAAGAAGGCGCACAAAAACAGCGCAAATTCGATTTCTGTCGACAAGTCTGGATGCAACAGCAAACATTGACGTAAATGGGAACTGTCGATGAAATCTGACACTCGCGAAATCGTGCACCACAACTTTGAGATTTGGGAGGATTCAAGAGGAGAAACCACGCACAAATATTCAATGCGGAAACTGCTGCGTTCACGCGATAATGCGAAATCAATTTTGCTTTGTTGTGTGTGTGTGTGTGTTTGTGTGTGTTTGTGTGTGTGTGTGTGTGTGTGTGTGTGTGTGTGTGTGTGTGGTGTGTGTGTGTGTGTGTGTGTGTGTGTGTGTGTGTGTGTGTGTGTGTGTGTGTGTGTGTGTGTGTGTGTGTGTGGCTTGTGTGCATGCGTTGGTTGTTCTCTATTCTTCCTTCTGTTCCCCTCACTCCCCCCCCGTGCCTCTTCTTCTATCTTCTGCTGTCAGTTTATTCATTCATTGTGGTCGCACGCACACAGTAAGGCTCAAACTCCCCTCCCACCTTTGTCGCGTCACTGGGGCTTTGCCTGCTGCTGCTGCTGCTGCTTCTTCTTGGACGTGCCGCGGGCGCTGGCGACGTCGGTGCCTTCCTTGTTGCGAATGCTCCAGAACAGTTCCGATGACAAGCTGCAATATGGGGTGAGGGCATCGAGACCCGCAAAGATGTGCGCCTTCTCCTCGTCCTCGCGCTGCCGCAGCACAAACACCGTGGGTAGGTTGTTTCGCGTCTTGACCACAAACGACTCCTCAATCTCCCATTTGCCAGTCATCCGCACAATCTCCACAAACAGCATGGCCTATGTAGCGTGTGTGTGCGCGTGTGTGTGTGTGTGTGTGTGCGTGCGTGTGTGTGTGTGTGTGTGCACGTGCGCGTAAGAGAACGACAGCACAACAAGGGTTTGCATGTGTGCACATGTGTGTGTTGTGTGTTGCTTTGTGTTGTGTTGTGTGTGTGTGTGTGTGTTGCTCTCTCTCTTTCTGTATGTGTGTGTAAACGATGAGCATGTGTGCATTCAGTCAGGGGGCACGCAGCAGCGCTTTGTGCAGCTGCCCGCTCTCATATGCATGCAGTCAGTACCTTGAGAAGAAACACGACCATCCGTCCACCTGGTCACGTTGAGCCAAACCAAAGGTTCATGCAGACACAAAGGAGTTGGCATGAGTGATAGCAGAGCAGGTACAAAGGCGCACACAACAAAGGGAATACGAACCTCCTCTCTACATCCTTCACACGCACACAGACAAACACACACACGCACACAGACAAACACACATGCACACACACACACACGTACACACACGTACACACAAACACACACACGTACACACACACACACACCCCGACAGACAAACACACACACACACACACACACACACACATACACACAAACACACGTGCACACCCCTACCTGGCTTGATGATGCGTGCTGCGTCCTGGAGGAAGATGGTGTAGAGCTGCACGAGGTCGGTGGACTGGCCCGAGCGCACACCCCACGGCGGGTTGGTGATGATGGCGTCAAACGACGCAGGCTCAAACAGCTTCGTCAGCGTGCGCGCGTCTCCCTTGTGGAAGCGGCACTTGTCAAGCACACCTTCCATCTTGGCGTTCTGCGTCGCGCCCCGGATCGCCTTTGGGCTGTAGTCCACACCGTGGCACGTGATTGAGCCGCCGCTCGCCGCCAGCGCCTCAAGCAGGATCGTTGCAGACCCGCAGAAGGGGTCGAGCACCGTGGCGCCGGGGCCCACGCGCGCCAGCGCAAACAGGATGTACGCAATGTTGCTGCGCGTGGTCACGTGATTCACAAACGCCTGCTTGTGGCGGCGTGACAGCGTCTCCGCCGTCAGCTGCGAGCCAAGGAGCACCTTGTCTTCGCCCAGGGCAATCACACGCACATTCACATCGTAGTCTGTCATGTTTGCGGGCACGTGGTACCGCTCGTGCAGCGCATCCCCCGCCACGCGCGACAGCTCCTGGCTGGTGAAGTGCTTGTTGGGCGAATACCGCGTGCCGGTGACCCGGAACGTGCGTGGTGCGGGCTCACACATGCACCGCAGCACGTTCTCCTTGCGCCACAGCGCAGCGTGCAGGGCCTTGAGTGATGGGTGCTTGTCTGTCGCTGCAGCAACAGCGCTGTCCATGCTGGCCTCGCCCTCGCTCGGCTGCGCCTGCTCCGACAGCGACAGCGTCAGCTCAAACTCGAAGCGGATGATGTCGTGGATCGACCGCAGCTGCTCGCACACCTCGAGCAGCGTGGCTTGTCTCTCTGTGTTGACCCATGCAGCGGGCACTGAGATGAGCACCAGGCTGAAGAACCCCCACGGCCGAGGCGTCACTTGTATCGCGTCAGCATCCAATGCGCTCTCCTTGTGCTGTACGTTCCACTCGCGCAATCGCAGCTGCACTTCATCACACACGGGATCCTCCAGTCCCATATTACCTACAGCAGGAGAGCGAGGGGAGGGATGTGAGGGTGAGGAGGAGTTGCAGATTTGGAGACGTGTGTGCTTGTGTGTTTGGTTGTGTGTGTGTGTGTTTGGTTGTGTGTGTGTGTGTGTGTGTGTGTGTGTGTGCGTTTGGTTGTGTGTGCATGCGTGTGCGCTCATGCGTGCGTGTGCGCTCGTGCGTGCGTGCGTGCGTGTGCGTGCGTGTGTGTGCGTTTACTTCTGTCTAGGTTTGGCATGTCGTGATGATGCATGCATGTTGCAAGCGCACCTTCGAGGATGAAGAGGGGAACAAACTTTGCTGGTGGTTGTTCGCCGCCGCTTGTTGTGTTCTGTGCTATGGCGCAGCCACCGCCCTTCTTGTCTTCATCGTCAGGGCAACATGGGCAGCGCTGCCACACTGCTCCCAACAGCGCGCTCGCCACCACAACAAACACCATCTCAACACGTGGGTGCTTCTTGCTTTTTGGTTGTGGAAGATCAATTGAAGACATGCATAAAAGTCACAGGAGGAAGGACTCACAAAAGGAGTGCTCTTGCTTGCATTTTGTTGCGCGTACACACAACAAACACACACACACACACACGCACACACACACACGCACACACACACACACACACACACGCACACACACACACACACACACACACACACACACACACACACACAC